GATAGAAAGCTGAAAACCAAGAGTACAAGTGAAAGTGGAGTTCAAGTACAGGGTCTTTGGACCTTCGAGCCCCAATCAGTGGGTTGCAATTCCTCCCAGGGCAGGGTTTGTGTCTGGATAATATTTGCATCCGGCACAAAGCTGGACCCATAATCAGTCTCAAAAGACATTGCATTGAATGATGGCTGAGTAACATCATCTTTGTAGAAAGGACTGGCTCACTTGTCATTATCCACAAGGTTCCCAACGGCAATGCTCTTTATCTAGCAGGTGTTGGCAGTCCTAGAGGACATGTTTGGTGGGGAGAAGGGTATGCTAGAAGAGTGTTTAACATTAGTCTTGGAGTCATATTTATTCGTAGAGGCTTCCTCAACCCTCCCCTAGTTTGGTTATCAGTCTCATTAAAGGCCCAATGATGTCAGGCTCTCCATCACTACCCCAGCCTCACCTGTGCCCAGAAATATGCTCCAGGCATCTCATTTACTCTCACAAAAAGCCTGGCCTCTTACAGGTAGAACGGGGCATTGCTCTTAGCCCACCTGTTTGACCCTGTTCCTGCCTTCCTGGTCCATTCCATGGGGATAGCATTGTGTAGACACTTTCAGTAGGCACCCTGAACAAATGCCTTCTCCCATCCTACCCACCCACCCCAAACTTGATTTGGCTTTATTGCTGAAGGAGAGGGACAGCAGAGGTGATACCCCTGGACCACACCACATCTTTGTTGATTTGTAGGTCTCGGCCTAAAATTGTTAACTTTTGTTTTGTCAATTCTGTTCTGAGACTATTGCCAGAGTGGGGGCTATAATAGGCTCCCCAGCTACAGGTTTTCTAACCTTAATGGAGGGGAGGGCTTGGGAAAGGTACATTAAAGGTAGGCCACCCTGAGGGAAAACAGGCCTTGTACAAAAGCTGAGCAGCCAGATGTTCACTTTCATAGTTCTGTAAGGCTGGCAAGGCAGATATAGATTAAAAAGAAGCACAAACTCCATTTAAAGTGCATTACAGCTCAGGAACCAGCTCCCCCTGGGCAGGAGGAGGGAGGAAAGGGCACAAGAGGCCACATCAGTTTCTCTCCTTATCTAGGGCCACATGTATAACTCCCGGCTTTGTGAAGGGTGATTTACACCCCTGGCTGGAATGACTCTCTTTCTGTGCTGATTACATTGGCAAATGCCCCCCAGAGGCCACAGCAGGATGGCCATATTCAGAAGCAGCAGCCAATAAATCTCAGGTTTATGTTGTGCTGCTCAGAACCCTCCTTTCTGGCCCTTCGCCAGGTGGACTGTGGCAGTGAGACGGCTTGGTTAGAGGGTTAGAGGATGAAACCCTCTACTTCCTTTCATCATCCTCTCTTTCTCTTTAAGCCAGGGGTCCTCAAACTACGGCCCACAGGCCACATGCAAATACAAATATTGTATTTGTTCCCGTTTTGTTTTTTTACTTCAAAAAAAGATATGTGCAGTGTGCATAGGAATTTGTTCATAGTTTTTTTTAAAAAAACTATAGTCTGGCCCTCCAACGGTCTGAGGGACAGTGAACTGGCCCCCTGTTTAAAAAGTTTGAGGACCCCTGCTTTAAGCACTGCCTAACTCTCAGTCATCAGGTCCTTCTGCCTCTATATTTGTGCTGGGAGCAGGTGGGAATCCACCCTAGGCCAATGAGTACCTTTGCCTCTACAGATAGAAAGCCTGGGCTCTGGCACAGCTGTTTCCACCTAGCTGCTTCATCTTGGGAGAGTAGCTTGCGCTCTGAAACGTCATCTGAAAATGAGGCACCTAAGTGGTCTCTCCAGCTACCTTCCTCAGTGACCTTGTCTTTCTTCCAGGGAAATCTCTGCTATTTAGTCTGAGAGGGGTTTAATCCTTCCATCCTCCCTCATGACTCTGAGGGGGCTGGAGGAGTCTAGTCTGGCAAAGATCCTGGGATCTGGGACCAGATCTGCTCCCTGTCCGGGACCCATCTTTGCAGAATCTTGGGGTTAAAAACAATAACGGAATCTTACCCTTGAAGATACTTGATGAGGGGAAAATGAAATCATAGATGTGCAAATTCTAAGAAAAAAAAGAAAAAGAAATGCAAGTGCCCTAGTGCTGGTGTGTTCAAGTTTTGTTACAAGATTTCATTTGTGTTGGTTATTCCTTGGTGGTGGTTGGGGGGTGGGGGTGGGAGGAAAGGGTGCTTTTTTGGGATAGCTATAGGGAACCCCCCAGATGGTGAGTCTCAGAGGTAGCTTCCCCAATATCTCCGACGGGAGTCGAAGTGGGGGGTAGGAGGGTGAGGCAGGGGGCTCAGCTAGAGCACGATCTTCCACGCCCCTCCCGCTCCCGGAGCACTTGCCCTCTGTCCCCACCCCAGCGTTTTCTCGGTCCAGTGAAAGAAGAGGCGCGTTTGTGCGCTTCGGGTGGGAGGGCGGCGCCCAGGACCCTGGTGCGAGAGTTGGCGCCTGGCGCGCGGGGAGGGGCGGGAGACAGCGGTGGGAGGCGCCGGCAAGGGGCCCCCAGCTC